AATCTATATAATTTTATTTAGATAACAAAAAATAAAATAAAATAAAATAAAAAATAAAAAGAGAAAAAGTGAATACAGTTGCGTTTAAGAATCTCTTCAATTTTATCTTTCATAAATATCTTTTATAAATAGCTATATGCATATGAAAAAGATTAGTTGTGTAAGAATGTGTTATCCGTTTAAAACATTTAGCACTTGAATAACAAGCTAATGCTTCATCTATCCATTTGCACAAACGTGTTATTCGTGAGAATTATAATCGTTATTGTAGCCGGAAGGGAGAGGCGGCGATTCAAAAGACTCGTTATATCACCTCGCGTCCACCACTTCACTGCCTGCCTCTTCAAACTTCAGAGTGCTCGTTCAAAAGATTCGCAGGGAGTATGAAAGAGCGACTAAAGTGTCGTCGCTACAAAGAAAGCGAAACGTGATGCTTTACTTAACGCGACATCCAATCCTCTTCTGTCAAATACGTGTATGACGTTGTAAGAAGATTTTGGAGAATTAGAGGATCATCGTAACTTTGTAGTTGAATAAGTTAATACATTTATTACATTGATATGTATATGTATAGGGTGTGTCAAATGATTTATCTCATTATTCTACGCAAAATATTATTAGGATTACATTAGGAATATTATAGGACATTATTAGGAAAAAATCAATTTCGTGGAACATCCTGCACAATTAAATATTACGTTAAAATTATTATTTAAAAAAAATTCGTTTATACAGGTTATTAATACTTTTTATAAATTTCGCTATTAATTAGAAATTCGAGAAACAAGACAGGATTTTTTCTTTTATCTTTATTTTTTTAAGAGAGAAATGATATAACTTATCTAGAACTTCAATACGAAGGCAATGAGTGCTTGAATTTTGAGATCGTGTTTCACGAAAACATACACACGTTCGGGTGCGATAAAATTATCGCGACACCAGGTATTCGATAACACTTGCGATAATGTAGGTGCATCTTTGACGAACTAAGATAATGAAAAGATGAACCTTTTGTCAAGTGAATGACGATTTTATCCTTTTCAATTGTATCTTTATCGTAACTACGCGACTTACGTAATGATTTATTTCGTCTCGCAAAAAGTGAAAAGTCAATATTTGAACTGCATGACGATGCTGCAATTAAACATCATATCGTTGCAGTATTTTATTCTTATACTTATATAATTATCTTTCGCAATCGAACAATTTTTGTTCCAAGATAAGAGATAGATAAGGCTTTGGAATTTTCCAAGCTTTTCGTCACCCTTAAATTATTTTGTAAATATCTCTGCTCAAGTAAACTGTAATTGCATATTCTGTAATATTAAATTAAATTGTTATATAAAATGTTTTTAATTTTTTTAATATAATTTTAATGGAGCGTCAAAATAAATCTCTCAAATAAATATTTATATATAATCACTTGTCATAAAGAATAAATAAGTAGAATTCAAATAGAACTTATTTATGCAATCTGGATTTCCGTACTCGAGGAACTTTTTCATCGCTTTTGTTAATATTACATGTTATTAAATTTCGAACAAGTAATAAAAGCAGTGATAATCGAAGTTATACTAATCAAAGTCTACTCCGTGATTTACAACGATAAGTAGATTGATGAAATTTATCACGGCAACATTGCATTAAATTCGAAACTGGCAAGCAAATTGCTACAATTGGCTCCTGCTACATATTTATGCGAGATGCAAATCTCGCGAGGCTGTCTGATGTTTGCAACGTGATGTTTGCTTGGAGTATTAAGGGGTAACACCACTGTAACGGCCCAAAAAATTGCACTTTTTCGACATTTTTTTTTAATGAAAGGAAATGAAATAAAGTATTAATACTCCGTGAAGTTAATAAGCATATATTGAAGTACTTGTAAAAATTTTTTCATAAAATAATATTACAAAATGGCGGAATGGCAGCCATATTCCCTGATGCTCCTTTAAAATAAAGGGGTCTGCGGCAAGCAGTGTAGCCGTTGGAAATTTGAACCAAGAACAAATAAAAAAATTCCTCATGATCTTCAATGGTATATCTAGTACAATACGTATGGGATTTTAGAAATATTGATTTTTGAGTGATTGGCGAGCATTTGAATAAAGTCGTTCATTTTTCGACAGGATTTAACCGTCACGCAATAACGATTCGTAATATCAATCGTGCGTGCTCTTACCGTGATATTTTAAGGTTTTAAAAGATTTAATAATTAAATCTCAGACACATAAATCGCTTAATCGTATTTAATATTTATTTTTTATTCACACTCAACGTAAAAAAATATTTCTTATAACGCACATTTAATTGTCTCAAATTTATTTTCCATAAATTCGTTATCATTTGTTGTATTGACAATTACTTATCTAATTATTTACAATCTCCTCGCGAAATTAGGCCCTGCACACAATAGAGACAATATTAAGAACAAATTACAAATAAATATTAAATATTAGGAATAAATATTAGAAAATTTAAATATAACGCACAATAAAAAAATAAAATCACAAGGTTAAAAATTAAGCAATCGTAATCGACCAAACTGGGCAAATTTCTCTAGATGTTACCTCACTGTTTATTACTGTTCTCAAAAAACTTGTTATCAAAGCCATTGAAAATAGATGGAATGACATTAGCAATAACACTAGTTTTAATTTGGATCAATTTAAACACGCAATAGAGGTAATTTTAGATTCGACGAGCTTTTCTTTTAACGAATGTTTCTATGAACAAACCTTTGGCACCCCGATGGGTTCCCCCCTGTCACCTATATTAGCGAACATAGTCATGGATAATTTAGAAACGAAATGTCTTGAAATGTTGGATTTTTGTGCTCCTTTGTACTTTAGGTACGTTAATAATATATTAATGGTAATTCCTAAAGATAAAATTGATACAACTCTCAACATATTTAACAATTATTATGATCGTTTAAAATTCACACATGAAATCAAAAATAATATGATTAATTTTCTAAATACTACAATTAGTGGATTTTTAACACATAACGACCGTAAGTTTTCTTCTTTTATTTTCTATACGTTTTTCCTCTTTATTTTCTTGGTGGCATTCTTATTATATATGATAATTATAATTTTATTTTTATTTTTATCTTATGTATAATTTTTAATTTTATTTATTTTTCTATTTTTAATTTAATTTTTATTTTTTATATTATTTATTTATTTTTAATTTTTACCTATTAACTCTTTGTTAAAATTTTTTAATTTATTTTTCGGTATAGAATACTTCTGTTGTAAAAAAGCTGTATAACCTAATACTTTGTGCAGAAAAATTCTTTAATATTTAATATTTAGTTTGTCAGTGACAAGATTAGATAGTTTACCAATTGTTTTTTTATTGAAGTGTCTTATTGAAGTTTTGTGTAATTTTTATTGTATTATTAAAAGTTTGTAATCACTTTGTTTACAGCTCATTTGATAAAGATCAAAAACAAAAGTCGAAACGTAATGAAGAAATTTTGAATAAATCAATATTTTTGCCCAGTTTGGTCGATTACGATTGCTTAATTTTTAACCTTGTGATTTTATCTACTGGCGTATTTGAATATATTTTTTATCTGATTGGAAAAAAATAAAATATAAATTATGTCATATATGTAATCGTAACATGATCAAAAAGGTTTATATTTTAATTTATAAATTTAAACAATATTTAAACATTTGATAACAAAGTATAGTATAAAAGAAATCTTTAAATCCAGAGAAAATTTTTAGTATCATATTTAGTTTTTTAATTAATAAGGATTTTACTTAATTAAGGAAAAAATTATTTGGAAAAATATGTATATACTAATAAGTTCGTATTATTAATTTACAAAGAAATAGATAACTTTTAACTGTTGTGAAAAAACTCAAAAATAATGCATCACTTTTTTCGTTATATCAGAAAATAATTTTTTAATTTCTAATTCTAATGTTAATATTTGTATTTTTTAACTTTTTATTCGTTTCCTATAGGAATCATATTTAATATTTAATATATTGTTATTTTTATTCCTGATTCAAATTCTCAATATATTTGTTTCCTTGTTTTGAAAATAAAATAATTCCATAATTATTAATAATTACATAATAATTAATATTTCTATAATTAGTATTTCTAATATTTTTTCTATTGTGCACAAAAGGTCATATCGCTATTTGATGTTCTTTAATTTTTCCTGATGAGAAATATTATATATTTTTTATCTTGAAAATTGCTCAGGGGGAAGAGGACCATTCCTCTTCTCCCCATCATTGACATTGTTACATAACACGTGATGCTCGCCGCGCAACGTGCGACGATGACGATGAGTACAGTCACCGGATGCGAGCGTTTCAGGCCAGTTCCGCTCAATTCCGTGAAGGAATGGTAGCTCGAATTATTGCGGATTCCGTACGTGCGAGCGTACGTTCGTTCATGCTTCCGCGATAATCACGAACCACCTCCGCGTATGCACGCCGTAAAATTATGTCGGCCGAGAGTTAACGCGCCATTTGCGACACACTCCGACTAACTTTGCTTTGCATAATCCTTCTCCGAGCTTGACGTTCATTTGAGAGCATAACACTCCGACAAGTAAAAATAGAGGGAAAAAAAGAGAGAAAGAGAGAGAGAAATGTAACACTAATTTACAGCCAAAAATTATTTTAAACTAGACAAATTAGATTTTTGCAGGATTGGGTAATAACTAGTTAAGTTAAAAAATTAATAACTTTTAAGTTAGCTTAGTTAATTTAAAATATATTAATTTTTAACTAGTCAGTTTAACTAGTTATTTTTTACTTTAAACTTATTAAATTTTTTCCTAAATTAATTTTTTTAATCTGTGAATATCATTATTGTTATAAGTTATTAAGTTATTATAAGTTATAAAGTATTATTTTTAATAAATTTGATAAAAGGCTGTTAAGAGCAGTAAATATAAAAATTCAAATTACAGGTATGATTGAAAGTGAAGTCATACATGGTTTGTCCGGAAAATAAGTGTACTGAGCTCGGGAAAAAAAATTTATTGTACTTTTCCATACTTTAAGCTAATATTCCTCAAAATAGGACCCTTGTGAATCGATACACTTGTCCCAGCGGCGTTCCCATTCCTGGAACGCTCTCGCGAAGGCATCATCGGGGACCTCTCGAAGACACGTCGTCACGGCCTCTTTGACGGCGTCCAAAGTCCCGTAACGCGTTCCTTTCAAACTCCTCTTTATCTTGGGGAACAGAAAGAAGTCCGGTGGTGCCAAGTCCGGGCTGTAGGGCGGGTGCGGCAGCGTTACCACGCCGTGCTTGGTCAAGAACTCCGACACGACAAGCGCGGTGTGAGACGCATGCCTAATTGGTCCCTAATAATCTCGTGCACTATTGTTTTTGGCATATTACACTCCTCTGCTATCATCCGAACACTAAGACGACGATCAGAGTTCAGTTTATCGCGAATTTTTTGCACATTTTCGTCGGTGAGTGTCGTTGATGGGCGTCCAGGCCGTGGTTCGTCGTCGACCTCTTCTCTGCCCTCCACGAACATCTTGTGCCACTGAAAGATCATGTTTCTGGACATGGCTGACTCCCCGTAAGCCTGGTTAATCATACCGACAGTTTCGGTAGGCGATTTCCCAAGCTTTACCGCAAATTTGATGGAATAACGCTGCTCCAAAAACTTCGGCATCGCGTTCCGTGACGTGGGTCGAGCGTAGAGGTTCGCGTTAACGGAGCTCCTCACTACACCACAGCTCAGAGCCGTCTGCCGATTTCAGCGTCGCTTGTCAACATACCCCCCTTCACTCCCAGCCCGTCAGAGCGTTGCTGGGCGCGCCTGGAGCGGCGGGAAAAAATCAGTACACTGATTTTCCGGACAAACCATGTATATAAAAATAATATTCTTTAATCTAATGTCTAATAATGAATTACAATAAAAAGTGACAAAAAAGAATTAAACATAAGTCCTCTTTAACTACAATTACAAAGCGAACGTTTCGGTCAATATTTTGACCATTATCAACGCTGATTAAATTCTGAATTTAAAAAATAAACGGTGTCATAACGGTAACATATACATCAAGCATAATCAAAAACGTCATAGAGTATGTAACACATTAAAAATACAATAATAGATATAATGATTAACAAATATTATGGTAAGAAAAAAAGAAAACATGATGTAAAAATGAAGAGCGATATTCCTCCAACGTAGTCATAATGTGATGATTAAAATTCGTAAATTGTGTTTCTACTCCGGTTATTAGACCCGATAGACACACACACACATGATGATTTGAAACAAATGATTTGAATCCTATAACGTTATTAAATAATTATTGATTTATTTAAACTTAATAGGTTGTACAAAAACGAAGATATTTATAGACTTACATATGATTAGATTGCAATGTAAAACAGTAGTGTAGGAGAAACATCGATTCCTGCGATCCGCACACTTACAATATCACAGACAAAGTGATCGAAAGGTGAAAATGAGCGGTGTTACTTATTATCTTTATATATCTATTTTCAGAGTTTCGGTAGTTTATCAATACTGTCTATATATGTATCAGGTAAACATTCTGTGTCCGTTTGCAAGTTCAAACTATTTGTTTGTCTTTTAATATAAATCATCTCGGAGATTAATCTTTTTCCGAGGAAATTTTCTTTATCAAGAATTTTTACTTCATTCCATTTAAATTCGTGGTTGACATCGAGCCTATGGTTAGTTATAACAGATTTGTTCGTTGTATTGTTATTAATGTCAAGTCTATGTTCCGAAATCCTAGTACTTAATTTACGTCCCGTTTGGCCCACATTGATGCATTACAATCACATCACGGCGAATACTTTTATAAATATGACAAATTGTAACACGCATAAATTTCGTATAAATTCTCCACTTGAAGGAACGGACTATTAGTAATTTTAAGATTATGATGTATTTTTTGTAAGAATTATAAAATACTTAACATTGTTATACTGAGGAAGACCGCATGCGGTTGAAACGTTTATGGAAGGTTTTTTTTGTAATTTTAATATATTGTTTATGGAATACATTTTAATTGGATACAACATCTTAAATATTACTCGATAAGTTGGCCTTTTTCGAATACATTTGAAGTAAATTTCAAATAAATATAATGCATCTTTTTTACGAGGGTTAACATTTATTTTTAAAAGTTCCGGGAAGAAAAAATGAAGAAGCTATCGTTCTTGCGCGATTTTATCTTTAGAGTTCCACCTACGCGAAATTATGCTTGCAAGTCATTGCGCAATGGCACTTTACAAACCGAAGAGATATCTCTCTTTCTCAACGCGCGAGAAGAGAGGAAAAATCGGTGTTTCGAGAGGAGAAGGGAATGGAGGAAATGCGTCCTGTAACGATTATGCGCGCGTGAACGAAAAATTAATTGCACGATCAATACCAGAAAAGCCTTAAGGGCCTTTAGATGATTGCGATGTCGCTCTCTAATCATGGTTAACTTGATTTTCCTATCCCTTCGTCTCTACAGGGTATCCTTACGACCCTCGCAGATACAAAAAAAAACTCTTTCCCTTTTTATCGAGTTCGAACAATCGAATCACTTTAAATATAAGAAAAATATGGATTTTAATTTTGCAGAAAATAAATCAATGATTAAAAAATATATATATCTAAAATTCCTAGGTCAATAAAGAAAAAAAATTTCAAGACTGAAAAATCTACAATAGTTAAAAATCACTGATAATTTTTAATTAAATTTTCAATTTTAGAAAACATTTTTCTTTTACAAATTGCAAGCTTGGAGTTGATACAAATCTGTTTTTGGGGAAAGAAGAGTAATCTCTCTCCCGGGAAACTTGGATCTCCTGCGAGAGATGCATCTATTGATCCATCATGCACCCTGTGCAAAGCAGCTGCTTCCTTGCAGCATTGCGCTATCTGTCGACGACTTGTTACAGTTGTGAGAGAACGACTCGTTCAATACGACTCGTTCGGTAAACGCTCTGTATCCCATAATCGATAATTTGGCATAGTTGAAAAATTTGTTTTCTTGTTAAGGGGATGCTGCTGTTGTTCTGTTTTACCAACTTTAAGTTAAGTTAGGTTCACTTTTTATTGAATATACAGATTGAAAAATTCTCCACAATGAAAGTACTAATAATAATAAATGGGAAACGCTATCCGGCAACTAATTTTTGCTGTTTTATACCTCGACATCGATTCCGCACGCAAATATACATACATAATTAATCCAAGTACGAATCTTTTGATACAGGCTTTTAATCTCATTTTTATTACTTCTGTATTATTATTTCATGTCCATTTCTATTGAGAGCGCCATATTTTGTGCACAAATAAACTACAGAACTTTTGTATTAAATAAATAATGTTATGAGCTGATGCAAGAGGCCGATAAAAAAATAGTGTATTATTTAACTTTTATTGTTTTTTTATACGAAATTACAGCGCTCCCCGTTCATTATTATTAGTACCTTAATTGTGAAGAAGGCGGTTTTTTCAATCTGTATAGCCAATAAAAAGAAAAGCCCTTGAACTCAAAGTCGATAAAACAGTCATGGTCAGCATCCCCCTTTAGGAGGTTTTATCGATAAATATTATTTTTATTTAACTATTTATTGGCTACATAAAATGAAAAATCCTTCACTAGAATTAAAGTATTCATAATAACAAATATGGGCTACTATATATGTATATAGAAAAAATGCTAGATAATTATAGTTCTTTTTTATGGGTTTTTTTTTACATTAGATCAACCTTACTTAAACAATAAGAAAACTGTAATTATTTAATTTTCTTGATTTCTTTTTAAATACACACATAGCAGAGCTCAGATTTGTTATTATATGAATACTTTAATTCTAGTAAAGAATTTTTCATTCTATATAACCAATAAAATGTTAAATGAAAATAATATTTATCCTCTTAAAAAAGGTCTCCGTTATAATTTTCTTATTACATATTCAACATATTTATGTGTTAATTTTACATGTTGCTGGTGTGTTAATTGAACACAATAGTTAAATTATTAGAACTACAAAAAGAGTATAAAAATAACACAATGTGCATCTATTTTTAATTTTAATAAATACGTTCCGTATTATTAGTGATAAGATTATCTGTTAAAATTTACAAAAAAAATGTTGATTTTATTCTATAATATAAATAGAAATAATAAAATGTTAAATTACCTTTTTATAATTAATTTTTACATTAAAACTGTGTTAGTTTTACAGAAAATTTTTTCTAATTACTTGAAGTTTGCATTTTTTTCGTGTAAAAATATTAACAGTTTTCATGTCATTAAGTTAAATTAAAAATTTTTGTGGACTGTTTGAGACATGTAATATCTGTTAAATTTAACACAATTTTTCAACAATTTTTTGTTGAGCTAACGTTTACAATTTTACGTAAAATGATTGAAAAAATAAATAACAGGAAAAAATATGATTTTTGTTTTTATTCAAAAAAAGTAATATATAAAAAGATTATAAATTATTATAGATGCAAAATCGCTATAGTGTTCACCATTTAAAAAAATATAAATTTGAGATACCGTTAAAATAATATTAAAAATCCAGTTACATTTCTGTTAGAAATAAATTCTTTTTAAACTTTAGTTAATCCCTTTTATATTTTATTAATTCTGTTTTCTGCTTTGACAGCTTGTTGAATATATTTGCACGATTTAACATTTGTAATGACGATCTCTCAAGAAAACTGTTGGCAGACACGATGTAATTATTATGCAATATGAAAACCTGGCACAACTCTAAATCCCCGGCACATATATACAAAGTTATATATTGAGATCGTAAACAACACTGGCTTCTGCTTCACCACGGACAAACCAATTTATTTCTGGACAAACGCATCTCTCTTTCTCGTTTAAAAATCGTGTTCGTGCTACACTTGAATAAAATCGATTCTATCTTTAAAATCTGATATTGTATTCTATACATTTTTGCCAAACAATTATATAATAAAAAAAAACTTTTAAAAAATTATGTATATTAACAAAATTTATAAATGATTAAATAATTAGTTTTGCAATGTACAAGATTTTGTCGACGAAAATTTGTTTCGATTAATAATAAAATCTAATCTTAAGCAATTAAAATTTTCATGCTATTTGTTTCAAGCTTAAAACTCACATTGTCATATCACGACGAATCCAACATTAGATATTATTGAAGATTTCAGACTTTACTGTGACTGTGATGTAAGGTCAAGGTTGCAACTTGTGTGCAAAGCTAAAAACGAAACAAATCGTTATAAATTATTCGGAGACTTTATAGTCCGGTAATTTCACACCGGATGTCAATTTTCGCTAATTTTCTAATGATACTTATCATTTACTTGGCTAGATAATATTTTTATCATTAATCTCAAAGTGAGTAGAAGAAAAAAGGTACTAGTTAATAAAATTAATAAATTGTCTAATTAATTATTATTTAATATTATTCCATTCACATAAAAACAGAATGCAATTAATTGTATTAATAAAATATATTAATAAAATGTTCTAATTTAATAATATAATTATTTATAAATTCCAATAATTTTTTAATCGATATAATTAAATAATTTGATATTACGGAAATAATATGTTTTCTCTGTCATATTAAAATTATTTTATTTATGAATTGAAATTATGTAAAATTATAAAATTGAAGTTATAAATTGTAAAATTTTGAATTATAAAAAAAATTTTAATGTCATCGTTATACTTGGCAAATTTGTTTTTGCGACATGCCGTTTTAATTTTTCCACTAATTTATATATACTGAAGATGGTCCAATAAAAGGATCGAAACATCTATTTACTATTTAATT